TTTCCCATCAAAGCTTTCACTGTCACTTTATTCTGACTCTTGTAAAATATGATTTTAAATATTTTAAAATCATTTCAAAGACCATATTGTAAGTAGCAGTAACTGTTCTTGGTACACTGAAATTAACAGTAGAGTTTCTGAGTCCCCACGGCATACTTATCAAGCTGTCACTACTGGTGCAATCATTTGTGGCTTATCTCTTCACTAGCAGCTGGCTAAGGTAGCTCAACAAATACTCTTTGGATTAAACACAGCAACTTCCAAAGCTTTTGTTGTAGAAAAATAATTAGATGTTTGGTGGAATTAAAAGGAGGCTTTCCATAGACAATTGCTTACCTTGCAGCAAGACTTTTTGGAAAAGGATAAAGAAAGGCTGCATTTTTTTCTGGTCTTCTCTAATACAGCAAGGTGAGACACATTAGATTAAACCATTTAATGACAATGGCTGTACCATCATCACATGTGGCCTCTTCGAGCAGGATCAAGCCTGGCACACAGGTGAGAGTCACTGAAGTCCAAGGAGGGCATGTTAAAAAAAATGAGACTAGTAGCTCCTTGCTGGTTTTGCTAACTGTGGTCTTAAAACCCACTGAATTGGAATACAGGCTGCCAAAGAATATCTTACTATAGTCCAAAGAGATTTTGGTAGGTGAGCACCCTCAATTTTAGGAAAACAAATGACACAGAATGTGGAATAAATTACCTTATCATATGTGTATGGCTCAAGTAAAAGTCAGAGAGTTACAGAACCATAAGGGTGGGGAAACCTCTGAGGGTTACATTTTAACTTATACTGAAATTTGGTCGTAACAGCAACAAAGAAGAAAGCTGTGAAAACTGTCAAAATTACTAACCCAAAGCACACTCCCCCGATCCTTGTCCTGAGTTGGTTTCCTTACCGCATGCAGGCGGTCTGTGAGCCATGTGATCACTCACTGATGGAAATCTGCTTCTTCCATAACTTAGATTGCACGGTGCAGAAACCCGTGGGAGTCCCCAGCCCAGGAGAAGTGGATGAGGAGGGAATGCGGACCGAGAAGCCAGACCAGGCTGCATCTTTCAGGGTCAACAAGATGAACGAAGCTCTTTGTATGTCTGTTGCTTAAGAAAATTGTGCTCAGCCATAAAACATTGAGGAGGAAACTGGAATTACTAGGAGATTGATACAAATAATTGAACAGGAATCTTACTTGACCTATCTGTACAATCACTTTCTAAACAAAACAAAAATGAAGAAAACACAAAACACAGCATCACAAATGGAGTGTCAGTTTTCCAGATAATGTCTGTTTTGGCCAGTTTTAGTTTTCTTATATGAAAGTGATAAGCGGACAATTATAATTCCTAAGGGAAAAGCGGGGTGGGTTCTCAGCTCTCCAGCAGCCGCTGTAGGACAGGGTGTGCCTCGCAGCCCCTTCAAGAAGGGCTGTTAGAAACCTGATCTACAACACTGACACCGTCCACCTAGTGGTGGCATGGGAGATCGTCCAGCCATGGAAAGGTAAATAGACTGCTATTTGTATGCACAGGAGTTGGTTTTTTGTTTTGTTTTGTTTTTTTTCTTTTTGGAACAGGCTCTTACCATGCAGTTCAGGTTGGCCTTGAGCTCTTTTGGTGGCCCAGGCTGGTCTCAACATTGCAACCATCCTGCTATCCCAGCCTCCTGAGTGCTGGGATTAAAGATGTGTGCCATCATGCCCAGCTGACAGGAAGGACATGTGTGTTCATTCTAACTTTTTAAAAGTTGCTTTAGTGTAGGAGTGCATCTTCTCTAGCTACCCACAGAGAAGGCTTGGTAACATATATTCACTCTGTAGACTTAGATGGAAGTTTCTACTTACTGTAATTTAATGGAAAGTAAGGAAATACCAGAGAATTGTAATTAGATACACCAAAATGATCTCATCCTTAGAATTATACTTATTAAGGTGATATCTAGGGGCTGGAGAGATGGCTCAGTGGTCTAAAGCACCTACTTAGAACAAGCTTAGCAAAAGCATCAGGGACCGCGGTTCAATCCCCCAGCA